GCGCCCCCCCCCCCCCCCCCCGTGGGTGAGTTCTGGGCATCAAACTCAAGTCCTCACATTTGTGGGCCAAACACTTACCTACTGAGTCATCTCCCCAGCCCTCAGAGTCCCTTACTCTCTTCTCTTCCCTTTCATCATCCCCCCTCCCCTCTCCCCTGGGCTCTCTCACACACCCCCTCCTGGCCTCATCTCTCAGACATTTCTCCCAAGCTTTTTTTTTTTTTTTTTTTTTTGGCTTTCCCGGGGAGCCAGCCAGGAAACAGGCCCTGTGGGAGGGGTTCTTGCCGAAAGTAAGGAGAAGTGAAGAAAAAAAAAAAAAAAACCAAAAAGTCCCCACCACTTAGAACATTCTATTTGGCAAGCAGGGCCACACGCTCTCTGTATGAATCACGGGGCCAAGCTGCACCCAACTCAAAATGGTTGAAAGTAAAAAGGAAATCCATTTCCTCATATAAGAAGCAGTCGTATGGGCCGGAGAGAAAAAAGAAGAAGGCCACACCTCCTAATCCTTCCCAAACAGTCCCATCAACTGGAGACCAAATATTCAAATATATGTACCTACAGCGGCCATTCTCATTCAACCCTCCGCCACCCACCCCCAGCCACAGATACTGGCTTCCGGATAGGCAAGTGGCAACCATCTGGGGCAATGAGACACAAATTCCAGGACCCAAGAGATAGACCCAAGACCTGAGGTCAAACCTAGACTACCAAGTGAGACCCTTTGTGTGTTGAGGCAGGGAGGAGGAGGAAAAGAGGTGAGGGGGCGGGGGACTGAGAGATGGCTCAGTGGTTAAGAGTATCTGCTGTCACTCTTGAACACTGGAGTTGGGGTCTTACCACATATGTAACAAATGCCTGTAATTCCGGCTCCCAGGGAACTGACAGCCCCCTGTGGCTTCCATGTATGAGAACACACACATACGCGCGCGCGCACACACACACACACACACACACACACAACCACACACACACAAACACACACACGCCTTAAAATGTCCTCTAGCTTTGGCTTGACCTGGCCATCCGTCTAGCCCGAAAACGGATGGCTCCCCTCATCTTGAAAGATGGCTGGCAGATAGCCCTGGGCTAGAATTACTAGTGAGGCTGGGCAAGGGGAAGAAAAAGACCATTGAACAAAGAAGTCTACTGAAGGAAACTCAGAAGAGATCGCCTCCCTCACTGGAACAGGGCCTCGTGGAGGCTGTGTGGGCCCCAAACTATGTAGTTGAAGCTGGCCTTAAACCCCTGCCTCCCCTGAGCACTGAGAATACAGGTGTGAGCCTCCATGCCCAACTTCTGTGGGGCTAAGGGTATCACTGGGGTTCTGTGCCCACTGGGTAAGCGCTCCACTCCCCCCAGCCTTGTCCCCAGCCCACCTGAATCATTTCCCCTTCGCCAGTTGGGCTGGGTGTTGTATGTCACTTCACCAAAACCCTATGAACACAGTGCCTTGAAGGGACAGGACCTCTCCTCTCCCAGGGACCTGCCCTCCCACTGAAGGGAAGTCAAGCTGACTGATGAGCGCCAAGCCAGTCTCTCCCAGAGTGCCACAAGCTGGGGAGGAAGACATCAGTTAGCGACTAATGGCTGACGGCGGGGGGGGCCTCACCAGC